GCGAGACATGAACTTATTGGAGTAGAAGAGACAGCTATATGTAACCGTTTCGACAGTGAAAGAGTGGGACTGAGATGCCGACCTAGTGGCACGTTTAAATGCAGCTTGGGAACTAGCGAAAATAGCACGTCGGAACAGTTACCGTGATTTGTTAATAAAAATTGCTGTTTTCTTTACTTTTTTTAATAAAAATGTTATTTCATTTACAGGTTAATAAAATGCATGTCGATAATCATACGCTCCGGAATAATCATTTAAAAATGTTATTGTTGAATTATTATGTTTCTTTTTTCATAATAAATATTGTTTAAAAAACGCCTGATAATTATGCACCAACCCAATAATAAATATTGTATTGTGGTTGGTTCAAATAATTTTATAATTTTTATAATATTTTTAATAAAAAACATTTATTATCAGACTTATTTCTTTATAACATGTTAAATAATAAATCTTTATAAAAGATAAATAATAAATATCGCATTGTATTTGGTTCACATTTTTTTATATTCTTGTATATAAACATTGCCGAGGGAGTCAAAAGTGTATACAGTAATAACGTTGGATTATCATTATTATAGTTGCAGTATAAACCACAGGTTGCTTCCGTGCAGGCGTCTGTAATAGGGAGCCTTACGGACATTCACGTTGAAACACCATTTCCCGTATGTTCACCGTTCAACTTCGAACCTGATTAATAACTAGTTCGGTTACGGCTTGGGAATAGCAGGTGCTGTAAGTTTCGATGTGCGGATAGTTTAAGGAATAATGGCTCGGAATTATTAATTGTAGATTTCCAATTCCCGTGGGGTTCGTTATATTCACTTACGGGCAAATAAAGTTATGAATCCATCTCTTCTCACCCCAGCTATGGGTTAATTAGTAAAGCTTGTATCACTATATCATTATTCTCTCGAAAAATATTCTTACAATCTAGAAATATTTTCTTGGCTTAAATAAACCACGACGGGTTAAACCGTAAAAAAACGAATCAATGAAATAGGAATTTGCTAGCCGCCTTGGTAAACGGGTGTCTTTGGAAACAAATAGTAACATACCACTGATTGACACATATATATATATATATATATATATATATATATAATATATATATAAATCACACAACAAGTGTGTCTGTGTGTACGCGTGTGCATGTGTGTGCTTTTGCGTGTGTGTTTGTGTGTGTGTGTGTTTTTGCGTGTGTAAGAACGTGTGGCCGAGGAGTTAGAACGTTTCTTTTCTAATCATGAGACCCTGTTGAAACTTGACTAATGCATGGAATAATAATACAACACAAAATGTACTTAGAACAAAATGTATTGAAACAAGAAAGTGTATACAATATTTACATATAGTCTTTTGTATATTCTTGGGAAGACCGTTCCTGGAGAATGTGTTGACTTAGTCGCAGTCGGGCAGAGTCTCTGGACTGAATCTCTTGATTCCTCCCCTCGTCTTCCCGGTACCAACCCATATTTATATGGTCGGTACTCCACTATGCAAATTAGGTGGATCCTACCACAACAGACCCTAAACTCGAATCTCACGAGGGTCAATTTCTCGGGAAGGTGGTTTCTTGATACTATCTATCTACTTGATCCCAGCGTGTTCCACCTTTGGAAAGTTCCTGAAAAAAAAACTACTAGCACGAGTTGATCCAAGACTTGTGAGTGAAATTGCATGCATGAATCTTTTTGGAAGCCATCAATGATTGTGCTAGCACGAAGTGACGAGTCATCGTGACTGAGGGGTTGAGCGTGCTGGCCTTGTCCAAAGTGTTGATCATCACAGATTACTCGCTCTCCCCCAGAAACTGTAACTAAGGGCCACTCTGCATAGATGCAGTTTTATAACCCACATAATATAATGTGACACTGCCTAACCTAGCAGAATCGTATGCCAGCTCTTATGTATTTATGTAAGTATATTCGAAAAGTAAGGTGTGTACGAGCAGGTTTGGTCACTACCTAAAGTTGCATAAGGCCAAGAAGGAAACAAGCAGCTTACAAAAAGATTTTGCTACCACATCTATAGCAGCAGATCTGTCCCACGTGTTGCTTAGTACGTCAGCTAGTGATCTGATCAGACATTTTTAAAATAAACAAAGATTTATTTCAGCTAGTAACCTCGAAAAATGGACAGTTCAAGGATCACATCTGCTAACGACTGTGCAAAACTGAGGCTGGGCTGAAGAGTTATAGAAGTGCACATTGTCGTGCGATGATCAATAAAGAGACATTGTTCTTCTGACAATAGAATGCAGTCATTATGCATGTACGTAATTCCTTTATTTCCCCCTTTCTTATTGTTTTCTTCTGCATATTTTCCTGACAATCCTTGACAAAATGCCATAAATCAATATACATTCGGGGAGTCCTTCAAAATACATTACATATGTTTAAATGTATTTTACTCAAGTATTTTCTCGGTTTATATATTTTCCCTATCTGTTTTAGATTTTCACATCGAGTTAAGTGTTTTTGCTGTTGAGATTAACAGCCTCAACAAATGGCAAATGGCAACTTACGCAATTTCATGCCATTGTCAGTTATCTCAGGGGATGTCTTAACATGAAAACGTTGAGTATCCCACTTAGCCGAATTTCTCAAGTGGGGTTTGCAAATGACGGCAGATATCTATTATAATGTGCTTTTTCTTATTATTTTTTTTATTGCAGTATCGGTTGCAGACAGAGAAAGGAAACTACAAGAACTCTTAAAGAATATAATGAAGGAAAGCGGGAAAAAAGGACTAAGCATCAAAATGCAAGAATGCAGAATACAATTTAAATAGCTCTGAGAAGTGTGTTTACAGAAGACAAAAAAAATGTGGCATTGAAATTGGAATGGCGAAAGATTTCTTTCAAAAGAAAAGCAAAGTAATAAGAAACAGGAAAATTTTGTTAGAAAAAAAAAGAGTACTGAAATGTTACGTAATATGAATCTTCTTATATGACAGTGAATGATTGATAATCTCCTCACAGATGAAAAATAGACTTCAAGCAACATAAATGTAGCTCTACAGAAGGATGCTGAGAAAAACCTCAACCGAACTTGAACAACGACGAAGTTTTTGATAAAATTGAAACAAAAAGGGCATTCTCAGATCGCTGAGATTTCTAGGGCATATAGTGAGAAAAGGGGGCTTATAAAATTTAACACTCACAGGACAGACTGCAAGCAATAGGGACAGGAGCAAATAATGTTTAATCTCCCTAACGAGCACGGGTAAACGAATGACAAAACAGGGTTCAGGAGAGATAACAAAAAAGAAAAAATTATTAAGAGTTACGAACAAGAGGAAATTGCGGAGAGCCATGATCACCAACGTCCTGAATGAACATAGCATATCTCCAGAAGAGTCCACTACAAACACACTACCCATTTTATGTCGGGGACTCTTTTGTGGTATTTTAAAACTTGACAAAATGAGTTAATATATCTTAAATTATCTTTGCTTATTAGATTCCTTTTTCAAAGTATTAAGAATCAGGAAAATATCTCTTGGAACAAAGAAAGGAATGCTTAACTATGACGTCATATTGGTCCACTTTTATGGCAGTGAATGCGGGACAATCTCCTCACTAATGAAGAAGAGACTTGCGGCAATAGAGATGTAGTTCTACAGAGGCACGCTGAGAATATCATGGACTGAACATATGAGCAATGAGGAAGTTTTTGTGAAAACGGAAACGAAAAGGTGTAGATGGTTGGCAGAACAGGGATTAAATGAGGTAACGGAAAGAAAAAGATTACTAAAAGTTACAAGGGTCAGAAAATTGTGGAGAGCCGTGATCGCCAATGTCCAGAAAGAACAGGGCAAATAGAAGAAGAAGAAGAAGAAGAAGAAGAAGAACTGAAACAGCAACAAGAACGAACTGGCTCAATAAGAAAACGCGGCTGGGGAACACGGAAAACTTTATTGGCAAAGCAATAAATTACGATTGACTTTTATTTTTTCCCTTTTAAATACGAATTTTCTATTGATTATCATATCTTTTGGACAGCACTTTTATTACTAATAGGGATACATGCATTGCATTGGATGAACTCTGTACATCTCCATCATCTAATTCCGGGCAGAAGTATGAATTATGCTGATTATGTTAATAGTCCTTGTTGGAGAGCACGGCTGACTTGTTGAACCTGAGAATTCATTATAAGCGGATTTCCAATGTGTACTACTTGTGGTAACAATAGTCTTGGTAATTTTGATGTTTGGAGGCTTGAAGCACCATGGTCACACCACACCACATAGCTTCCATCATTGACAATAGATTGTGAGGCTCTTTTTGAACGAGCAAAACATTTCCCTAGATCAGACAAACACCATATTTCCCAGATTCCAACAATTGCGATTTTCTCCCCTTCAAAAATCAAATCCAACTTGATAGGAATAAGATTTCAAGACGGCGAGGAAATCAAAGAAAATGCGACGAGGGAGCTGCTCGCTATCCCAAAAAGGGGGTTCCAGAAAGCTAGATAAAGTCTGTGACTTCAGAAGGAACCTACTACATTCTATAGCATCAGTCCCGATACTTTTTGATCAAACCTCGTAATAATATATAGTTGTCCACCAAATGGCCCTTATTCGAAAACTTGTTAATCACCTTCATACTTAAAACCAAATATTATAATATACATATATAATTAACATCTTAAATTCTGATTGGTAAAAAGGATTCATATTTTATTCCTTATGAAAAAAGAGCTTAATTATTTAAGCTTAGCAAAGTATTTTTTTTTACATATGGAGAACAGTAGATAAATGAGCAAAGAGATGGAGTGATTGATTTTTCACTCTGTACTAGCACAACCATCAATGGCTTTCAAACAGTTCCTTCTATCAACTCACAAGGCTAACGGAAACCCGTGGTATAGTTTTCAGGAATTCTGGGATCGTCTCTCGAGAGTGATAACACCATGAAGTCAGCGTGTTGAGATTCGAACCCAGATCTCATTGTCAGAATGCGAACGTTCTAACGAGTCCACCAAACAAACATCAGATAGATAGATAGATAGATAGATAGATAGATAGATAGATAGATAATTTTATCAAGTGTCTTTACTGTCGAGATTAACATTCTTAGCAAATGACAACTGAAATTTTATCTAATGGAATCAACGTCTTTTTTTTTTCAACTTCTTTTAAAATTATATTACTTGCCAGCTTTCTCAGATGACGTTTCAACATAACTTCGTTGAGTAATCCACTTGGCGGAATTTCTCGAGGGGGTTGTAAATTACACCCAGCCGAGAATCGGGGGAGATATTTTAAAGATTTTAGTTTTTTTATCATCCTACTTACCCTTGAATTTTGAAAGAAGTCTTCCCTTGAAATGAATGCCTAAGATTGGTCCATTCTTTCATATTTTTTTAACAAGTCAAAATCAAGCAAATACAAAAATCTAAATATCTCGGAAGTATTTTAGCAGATGAGGGAAAATGTGACACCGAAATCCGAAGGTGCATTGGAATAACGAAAGATGCCTTCCAAAAGCTAAGCAGAGTATTAAGAAACAGGAAATTTTCGTTAGAAACAAAGAAAAGGTGTGCTGAACTTCTATGTAATATCATTTTTTTCTATATGACAGTGAATGCTGGACAGTCTCCTCAGAGATGAAGAAAAGACTTGAGGCAACAGAGATTTAGTTCTACAGAAGGATTGTGAGAATACCCTTAAGTGAACATGTGACTAATGAGGCAGTTTCAGAGAAAATGGAAAGAAAAATACACATTTAGAATCAAAAATAGAAAGTTGAAATTCCTACAAAAAATATTAAGGAAATGTGTCTTGGAGAATCTGACATTAACGTTATATATTAAAGGCAAAACAGACGCAGGGAAACAGCGAGTAACCTCCCTTACATGGCTGTGCAAATGGATGGCAGAACAGGATAGGGAAAGATAGCGAAAAAAAAAACCTTGCTTAGTGTTACAAAAGAGAGGAAGTTTTAGAACCATGATCGCCCATTTCTTGAAAGGATACGACACATCGAAGAATACCGGACAAATTTATTAAGAACAGTATTTAAACCCAGCAAAAAACGTAATTACAAATACTTACATTCATACGTATTTTAAACGTCGTGAATATGGCGATAAAGATGAGGACAACAGTCCGAATAATGTAAATAGTGTAAATAATTACAATGCCTCATCTCAGAAATATAGACAGATCCTGAAGAAAGCCGGAGCATACAACGGCTGAAACGTTGTGAATATGGCAATAAAGATGAAGAAAAAAGTCCAAACAATGTAAATATTGTAAATAATTACAATATCTCATCTCAGAAATATAGACAGATCCTGAAGATGGCTGGAACATAGAACGACTGAAAAGTTGTGAATATGACAATAAAGATGAGGACAACAGTCCGGAAAATGTAAATAGTGTAAATAATTACAATGCCTCAGCTCAGAAATATAGACAGATCCTGAAGAAAGCCGGAGCATACAACGGCTGAAACGTTGTGAATATGGCAATAATGATGAAGAAAAAAGTCCAAACAATGTAAATATTGTAAATAGTTACAATACCTCATCTCAGAAATATAAGATCCTGAAGATGGCTGGAACATAGAACGACTGAAACGTTGTGAATATGACAATAAAGATGAAGACAACAGACCGGAAAATGTAAATAGTATAAATAATTACAATACCCCATCACAGAAATATAGACAGATCTTGAAGAAACATAGAACGGCTGAAACGTTGTGAATATGGCAATAAAGATGAGAACAACATTCTGAACAATTATTGTAAATAATTACAATACCTCATCTCAGAAACATAGATAGGTATTTTAATCTATACAACAATGTAAATGTCGATTTGAATGCTTGTAAATGTAGCTTCTGTGTTAGCAGATTTGAAATTTTAGAAAATCTCTTATCTAAAAAATTGTATATGTACTAATGGATTAAATACATTCTGTATCTACGTTTAGTAAGAAGGTTATTAAAACAAAGAAGGTTTGAAACTTATTAATTATTAAATCAAATTGGTGAACCCAACTATATTTTTAGCCTATCGTATATACATATATATATATATATATATATATATATATATATATATATATATGTGTGTGTGTGTGTGTGTGTGTGTGTGTGTGTGTGTGTGTGTGTTATATATATATATATATGTATATATAAAGAAATATAGTCTTAAAATGTGCTATATTTATGGGATAAAGTGCTCAATGTCAGAGATAGAGCGTGTGTAAATATAAAAGTGAACATAGAAGTCAACACTTAGAGACGACAGTCTGTTTCATGCTAGATGCAATCGTCAGGCCACGATGCTGTTATTTTTCTCGGCTATTTATATATACGGGTCAGTGGTGCATTATGGGTAGTCTATTTTGGCGGTTATTTTACCAGAAGTCGTTTATTTGTTTATTTATTTATTTGGGTTAAATTATTTTTCTTGTTTTTATTTATTTTTACTATTCATTTACGTGTATTTGACTTGTCAAGCAGCGTTCTTGTGCATAACTTGTTTTTTTAAGTGTATCATAATTCTCGTATGTCTATTCAGGATTCGGATCATAATGTATACAGCTATGTGTGTGTGTGGACTAGGCTTTATTTATGTTTGAGGTTTTTATAACACTATTAGACTCTACTATGAGCAATAAGAATGTATAATTACACTCCAAGCTTAACTGAAAAATCGCGATGAAATCGATCATAAACGAAAATGACACATTCATCATTAATTAATCATAGATAAGGATCGGTATTAAAGTTAAAAAAAAGATATATATATCTATATATCATTCCAGGATATTTTTCCAAATAATGCAAAATAATCTTCGCCCTCTCTAACCTTCTAACTTTCTGTCCTGGAGTAACAATGCACCTCAGAGGTTTCACATACGATTTCATTTTCAAGTGTTTCATCACTGTTCATTGGACTGTCATAGCTGAAACTCCTCTCTCACGTGCAAAACATCTTATGGATTGCGTTGGAACTTTTCTAATTGACCGCTTTATCTCTAAGTTGAAATAATGAACTTTCTTGCTGTTGTGACTTGCTGATCCAGTTTTCCTCTCTAATGTTGCATCATTTTTAAATTTATTCACCGTTCTCTTGATGGTTCTAGAATGGATTTTGAAGATCGAAGCCAGAGTATGAATGTTAGTGCCATTACTGAAGGCTGGAGTGATCTTTTTCGTCTCACCATTGCTCAGTTGGGAAGACAGTGGAGCTGACACAAATCGATTTAAACCTATTCTCTTTCTAGCTGAATAGCTCAAAGTGTTTTTCAGTGATTCTTACGACAAGTGGCGCTAAGATGGCTAAGCGTCTTATCTGACAACCTGGAGAAAAATATATATATATATATATATATATATATATATGTGTGTGTGTGTGTGTGTGTGTGTGTGTGTGTGTGTGTGTGTGTGGTGGACTCTCCCGTTGTATTCAACGTATGAGGGTCAAGCAATTTAATTCCTAGTAACCGACAGCCCAGACACCAGTACATATAATTTGATTTTCGTGGTGAAGGTTTTGTGCAGAACCAATCACACTATTTGAAAGGCCAAATACAGAGACCTACGTGCCACAAGGTCCCCAAAAGACCCTCCGTAGATTTGAATTCAGAGTTGTCCATCTCCTAGACCAGTTACCATCCAAGGCTATAGAACCCAGTCTCTCCTGCTATTTACCCATAGCTGGAGGGAGAGAAAGAGGATTAATACCTTTCCCATGGGTATTAGCACGTAAGTAGTGAATGTAATGGATTCGACTGGAATTCGAACTTGACTCTCTCTCTCTTCTCTCTCTCTCTCTCTCTCTCACACACACACACTCCTCTATATATATATATATAATGATAGTCTGTTTTTGTTTGCATAGAAGATTTCAAAAGCCACGACAAACTCGTGCATATGAGACGCTGAATCGAAAAATCGCACCGTAGCTCATGACATCACACATGCCCATATATATATATATATATATATATATATATATATATATATATATATATTAGGTTGTTCGGAATGTAACTGCGTTTTACCAGAAAGAATATAAAACATTATTCCATATTATTGTCGAAATAATTTGTGTTTCCGGGTTTATTGCATGAAATTTGAGTTGTATATAACTGCTCGATAAGAGTTTATGCTGAAACCAGAAATATATGAGTGTTATCACCTTCAATGTAAACTTTGACCATGTGTTTCTGGTTAATATCATGCTGAACATTCTTAGAATGACCCAAGAGATTTTGGCGGATATCAGTATAACTTTATCCAATATTTCTAGATAAGACTCTCACCCTTCCCAAACTTACAGGACCAAAACTTTACATTCACTTATCTCTGTTTAATTTTTTTTTTTTTTCCAATGAAAGTTCATACGGCTGGTACTGTTCACCTACATTTCGTAAAATCTAAAAATGTTAAATTTCAAGTTGCCACTCCATATAATTTAAAAACACTGTTCCGCATGCGTATTTTCATATTGGACGCGTATTCGTGTATTCATTAAGGGGTTCTATTGTATTCTTTTTCGTGCAATGCGTTGTGTGAGCGGCGACATATTTTGTGAGAAGACCTGTTTTTAAACCATATTTTTTTCTTTATTTATCATTTCTTATAAGAGAAATACAAATTCAGAAGGATGAGTACCTGTGTTTTATAGATTGCGCAAAAGCGCTTGATAAGGAATGCCAAAGAAAGAATTGTTGGAATTGCTAGGTAACCTTGACATGTTTGGGAAGGATATTAGAATGATCCAGAACTTATACTGGCAGTAAATCACCTGCAGACGGATAAAAATGAGTTCAGTAAATATAAAGGATGTTTCATGAAGACGGATTATATATAAGGGTGTTTCATTAAGTCGGATCAAATCCAGCAGTAAATAAATCAGTGTTATTGGTTAAAATGTATTTCTCTATTGGATCATGTTATTAAAAGTCATGGCAATTATGTGTGAAAAATAACGCTTCTGCATAGTTGCTCCTCGATCGCCTTATTATCTCATCCCTCAGCTGTTGAATTATTGTTGGCTTGTTGACATAGACGTTACTTTTGACATGACTCCAAAGGAAGAAATCTAATGG